TAACATTTTTGGGGCTTGCTTTTCTAAACATTTGTAGAACTTGCCAGCAGGAGGTAACAGTTCAACGAATCCGGAGGCTATAGGATGGACTTGCAAGATTGGAAGGTGTCAGAATTTCAAAGCCGCGTTAAATTACTTCACAAACAAAGCACATCACATGACTGCCACGATATTGGAGGGTGGGGAACCTTGGAGTGTTTTCTGTTTAACTCATGTTATGAGAATCTTTTGACTAGGGAGGAGGTAGCTTCTCGTTACATCTCAGTTTGGATCCCTAAGATATCGAAAAATGTGTGCCTTTTTACCTGGTTAGCCGCAAGAGGGATGATTTTGACAGCTGAGAATTTGAGGAAGAGGGAGATTACTTATGTTTGTTAGTGCTATATTGTAGGGGAGTCTCTTGCTAATTCTGGGATTGTTTGGTGTATCTCTGGTGATGCCAGTTACTGTAAGAAATGTTCAACTGGAAGATGGAGATGAAGACGTAAGGCGTGGGGGGTTAGTCCACTAGCACTCATGTGGGTTGTTTGGCGAGAAACATGAGAGTTGTTGAAGGGGTAGAAATTGATTTTGTATCATTGATAGTCTCTTATCCCTTTTTCTTGGTGCACCCATGGGGCTCGTTATATCGAGGAGTGGGTGTCATTTGTAAAAAAAATAACAATTTTTTGGTAGGTTTTCCACTTTTTGGTGTACGTCTTGTATATAGGTGTTTTTACCCAAACTTTCGCTTAAGTTATCTACCTTATAAAAAGTGCTCTGTTCAAGCATTTCCTGAGCTCACATCTTTAGATGCTTAGATTAGTACTGCACCAGTTCACTCAATAAAAGAATCTTCTCGGTCTTTGGAGAGCTGCCATACTGATGACGCATCAGCCTAAGGTGGAATGGTTGTTGATAGGTAATTATGTTCAAATGATTATAGGTTTTTGCTTACTAACCCTGACACCAGGCATGATCAAGGTACTGATCAACACAAGTAGAATAAGAGCTTGCTCGTGTATGAGATCTGAGACTAAGACCAATTTCACTTTGCTAATAAATTTCTAGGATTTCTTTTGCAACTGAGATGCATAAATTGAACTACTAAAAGAAAGTGTTCCCTTTACTAAATCCAAGTCTAGATAAGCGTCTCAAACTAGCTAAAGGGGACTGTTCTTTCACTTTATATACTGATGATCTGGTGGGAATAACACGAATAAGACGTGCAATTTTAAATGCCCTGTATATTAAAGGTTCCTTGTTTACCACAAAGCTCTATTCTTGATCAGAAACCATAACATGGTTACAAGGGTAACAATATACTCAATCCAGTTTCCATGAGGTTTTCTAGTTGCTGAGTGTTTGCACAATGGTGTTGTGCCATGGGTCGGAGAGTCAAAAGGTCCCTTTGCTACTACATTATGCTGCACAATGAATCCCAAAAATGCCAACATTGCCAATCTCCCTGCAAATTATCCACGTGAAAGTCAGTAACTTCACTATTATAGTGGATAAAAGTTACTCTAGTTTTGTGATACTAGTGTTACAATGGATAAAGTTTAGTGACGTGATATATAACAGGGTTGCAGTTGTTAAGGAACTTACCATTAGCAATTTCCTTTTTTTTTTGGCCTCCGCAGTTGGTGCAAAGTTGAGTTTAATTCTTTGGATAATATCATCTCATACCCTCCTAATAATGGTATACTTGACAATCTTCTCATTGACCTTCTCTTTAAATTATCAAATAGATTTTTCCAATTAACATCTTGAATTAATTCTCCTGAAGATGATATCATCACTGGTGCTAATGCTGCTATTGTCTGAATCTGATGAATTCAATGTTCTAATACTCCTCTTGGTGATAATGATGATGAGTAATGATTATTATCTCTGTTGTTGTTGTTGTTGTTGTTGTTATCTTCCGCCTTTTTCTCATTTTTTATCACCTTCTTTTTCTCCATTTTCTTGGTCACAAGCTGCAACTCTTCTGCCTACAAAATTCATAGGTAAAAGAAGAATTTATTGGCAAAAAGGTGTGTGTCATAAGTCAGCTGCACATGTTTGATGCTTGTGTGGAAACAAATCAATCTATTATACGTTTTTGCTACTAATTTTTCAGATGTTATCATGACGTGGATAAATACTTTGCCCAATTATACTTTGTCTCGTAGAAAAATGTGGATGCAGTGTTACCTCAAATGTCAGACACCATATATTCCCATTTTTGAAGGATGGGATACTTGGTAATTTGCTTGGACCTCAAAGTAGAGGTTGCCTAAGGACTTATGGCTTGAACCCACATCTGCCCAAGTTCAAGAATATTCCAGGATATCAAAGGTCATCGAATTGTGTTGATTGTCTAGACAGCTAGCAAGTGTATGCGATATTGACAATGATTTTTCACATGTAGGAATTTTCAAGAACTCAATTATTACTATTTTTGGTAAGGTATCAAGAATTCAATTATGACTTGTGCTGACTTATTTTCTTGGCATATCAGTGTTCTTTACGGAAAAAGTTTACTTGTCCTTTGGTAAAGTGAAACAATTGAGGAAGCTGAAGAGTAAGAGAAATGTGAGCAGTTCCTGAAAGAAGAGATTGTAGCTGGAGTCTGGAGATGTAGATGTTTTAGCATAACATGATTTTGAGTATGTAACCTAATGATTGTCTATGACTGATAATTTTATTCTGCTTTTTGTGATAGTTTCGGTATTCTCATTTTTTCTAGCTGCTTTACTTGCACTCGGAGTACAGTTCACCAAGTTACTTAGCAGGTGAGATATATTTTTTTATAATGGTATAAAGTCTAAGCAAGTGATATCTACTTTCTTTTTGGTTTTCACTTGGAAAATTTTAGATTTCTTTTTACAAGTGAAATACATGTTTAGATAGATACAACTTCAACTTCGTATACCTCTTTTCAACTTCAACTTCAACTTCAAACTCTTTTATTTCCATTTTAACAAAATATTATCCAAACACCTGTTTAATTTTAAACACATTTAATGGAATAAGGTGCTAAACTTCTGTACCACCTTAGTGATAGTCCTCTCAAGGTCGAAAAGAATCATTCTTTAACACGAAAATGGTGGGTAGTCAAGTACGTATTCCTCATGCTTGTGATGTACTGCCAATTGACGGTAGTGGGATAAGGTGTGACATAGCGATTGCGATAGTGTCCTCCTTTGATCTGCATATCAATTCGGGTCGGGTCAGCAAAAAATATCAAATTTGATAAGTGTACATTTGGTATTTAGTTTGATCTTAACTTAATCTTTTGAGTGAATTTGATCTCAAAACACTATCTAGAAATTTGAACTTTACTTTGTTTTCTAAAATATTGTGGAGGCTTTTTCAGATAAAGTATATGTGCACACCACTAATAGTTGCAAACGTAATCACCAACAATCACGACTATTTATTCTTGATGATTGCAAATTTTATGTTTTGAACAATTTGTTTTTTTTTTTTTTTTTTAAAACATATAGGGGGAAGGATAGGAAATGGCTGAGCGGATTACAAGACGGGGAATCGAACCCTCACCAATAAAAAAATTCAAGTAGTCAACCAACTTAACTATTAAAATTTCCTATATGCCAATTAGTTATAATCTTAATATTTTAGTTTTATTTTCATATTGAGCCATTAGCTTAGATTGTGTCGTTACACTTAGTATTAGAGTGAGAAGTAGCTTAATACATGTGAATTGCACTCCCGTTAATATGTTTGAGTTGTGCTTCCTCTACGGCTAAGAACACCTAATGATTGTTGGCAGTGGCGAAGTCAGAAATTTTGCGAAGGATGTTCAAAATTTAATATACATATATAAAAAGTAAATTTTGACCTATATACACAATATAAGTTTCTATATATACAATATAATTTTTCAATAAAGAGTGTTTGGTTGACCATCCTTCAATGTATATGGCTACGCCACTGATCGTTGGATACTTTTGTATTTTAGATAAATATAGTTCAATAAAAAAGAAAGATTTTGTGCATCACATGCTAAAAAATTATAATAAGACTCTAAAGACTATCAAAAAATAATAACAAACCCAGTATAATCCTACAAAGACCTCTAAAAATCCATAATCGAAAATTTGCTCTTCTATATATAACGTGGAGATAAGAGTCTTTCTCAATACTGGTGTTATGTCTCTAAAGATAAGCATATTAGCACCTAAGACATGCATCTAAGCCTTTCAAAATGTAAAATTTCGAAATTACACAAAATACCAATTCACATAGAGGGGCTAAGGTGCAAAGAGGGATTCTTCTAATATGAACAACTCTTTTATTTTTATACTATGTCGGGTATTACCAAATACTACTTAGAGTATTACCAAGCGGTGGTTAGAACGGCCATGATGTATGGGGCTGAGTGTTGGCCTGTTAAGAACTCACATATCCAGAAGATGAAAGTAGCAGAAATGAGGATGTTGAGGTGGATGTGCGGGTACACTAGGATGGATAAGATTAGGAATGATGATATTTGAGAGAAGGTGCACGTGGCTCACATTGATGACAAGATGCGGGAAGCGAGGCTCAGATGGTTCGGGCATGTTCAAAGGAGAAGCTCAGATGCTCCGGTAAGGAGATGTGAGTGGCTGGTAGTGGAGGGCACGAGAAGAGGTAAAGAGCGGCCTAAGAAGTATTGGGGAGAGGTGATCAGGCAGGATATGGCGAGACTTCAGATTTCCGAGGATATGACACTTGATAGGAATATGTGGAGGTCGAGTATTAGGGTTGTAGGTTAGGAGGTAGTTGAGTCTTTCCTTACTTCGTAACATTATGAGACTAGTCTGTTAGGGTTTTTGTCTAAGGTAGCTAGTGGCAATGTGGTGTCTTACTATTTCACTTTTCAGT